ATCTTTTCTTTGTATGCAACTTTGAAACATTTTGTAAAACTTAAAGTACTTTACGCACAATTCCCGTTAACGGTGTGTATTCAACAACAGAATCAAACAAAATGAGACAAAATGCTTTTGTATTTTCTGGAAAATTTTGATTGGATTCCATTTCAATTTGCAAGTCAATTGTTGATGATTTAACGCTTTCATTTTGTTTTGTTACGTCAAAAACATATAATGCATGATTTTTAAAATCTGCATATGTTAAATTAGGAGTTGATGATTTAAATTTCAAGTCATAGTAGCTTGGTAGGAAATTGACAAATTGATTTTATGCCTTAATATAATTATCATTATCAAAGTCTAAATTCATGTTATCATATGGATAAGACGTTGAGTTTAAGCATACTTTTATATTCCTAATGTTACAGTGATCGAAAAGTGTGACATCTTGTTCGTGGTTATTTTTTTTGTTGGTTTGAAAACAAACAATTACATAACGCGGTCTTTCAAGAGATGTATTCGTTTTGACAGACCAAATATCATTTTTCGTAGTTTTTAATGCAGGCAACTCATGAAGTTCCCATTTACGAAATGGTAAAATGAGTGGCTTATCACTTTTAAGCACATGGAGAAAATGAATACGTGATGAATCATTTACTTCAATATGTGGCACATGCCATTCTACTCAAGTTAAGTTAATGTTCACGTTATCACTACCCACATAGCAATTCACATCCGTTCCTGATCTTAACAATATTAATTCTTGTCGAGCGTTTATAATTACTTTATGATAATCTTCGGCAAATCCAAACAATCTGTTTAGGGGAATTTGTGCAAAGAATTTACGTTTGGTTTTATTGTAAACACTCAATGCATCTGAATTTTCCCACCCAAATAACACGTTGTTATAGTTATTGGGTGTACATGACAAAAAGTTTTTAATTGTAGTGGTTGTTCCAACATCTTGATTTCTATCGATTTCTACACCATTAATTTCATACCTTGCTTCTTGAAATAGATAGCAAAAAGCATTTCTTGATAATTTAGCAATAGGTTTTGCTGCACCGGCTATTTCTTCAGGTAACACTACTTCCCCCTCATTTAGTATATAACTTTGACTAGGTTTTGTATATTGATCTTGTTGTTGAATTAAAATCCGTATTTCATCATTTTTCTTAAGGTTATTTGTTCAAGGTTGATAAGTATGATATTGTTCTTTTGTAATTGATTCATCTGAGTTTATTTTTTCCAAAATGTTTAAATCGTGATTCATAGTGCCAATTTAATTTAACACAGTGTATCCTAGGTTTAATAATTGTTCCCGACGTTCGGGGCTTAGTAACTTACTCTTCGAGATACACTCTTTATTATCACTATTCCTACTGACTTAATTTTTTTTATTGCGCTTGGGTTTTATACCTTTTGTTTTTCGTTTGCTGCAATTATTGATACCTTTAAAATTATTGATGCTGTTGTTGTTGTGGTTGTTGTGAATAAGACCCATTTATTTTCCTGATTTTTTTAGTTCTAAACGAATTACAATGTTTTCTCCTCGGAAATTAACTGGTCGTCCGTCTTGATCGATCAGCTTCAGTGTAATATTACAAATTGCACTAGTGTTAACATTTAAATAAATATGATTTCTAGGTTCAATGTTTATAGCAAAACCCGGATCAACTTGCGGTGAAAATTCAAATAATGTATGTGATTCTTCACTATCATAATACGAACCTTTTACAATATTACATTCTACTCTAATACTTGTAACTTTTATGATGCAAACTGGTAAATCTGAGTAATACAATTGATTAGCTATCAATATATGTTTACCAGAAGAACCTAGAATTTTTCCTATTGAATCTGTCGGTGAAAAATCAACATCATATACAGACACTAGTTCTGATTGAATTGTATTATTGTTGGCTTTAAGTATTAAATTTTGCATATCTTTTTTTAGTCCATGCTTTTGCCTTAGTTTTTAATTAATATATTTCTCAAGATCATCAATTTCATATGCTCCAGTAGGGATAGTTATAACTTTACCATTATCATTTTAAAATTTATTTGAACCTTCTTCTATATTTGGAATAGTATTATACGTATACACACCAACTAGAGCAAGTTCATAGTCATCATTGGAAATATCAATAGGAGGATAAAAATTCGACTGTAATGTGTTGTTGTTACCTTGTAATGTAAACGTAGTTGACATTATAGATTATTGATATTTAATAAGAATTCCAAACACAAATGACCACAATTAACGGTGTTAAATAATTGATATCTATTATAGTTGTAATATATTTCACACTTATTAAAATAATGTTGTACTTCCAATGGTGGTTGCAGATTTCCAAAACTATCAAAGTAATGAACAATATTTCCTTTCTTCTGATATGCTACCCAATGTGTCCCCGGAAATTTAATTGAATCTAAATTAACCACTACGCTTTCGTTTTTATATGCTCGCGAAGGCAACGTATCACGCATAAAAACACCTCTGAAATGAGTGATATACTTACTACCAAAGTTTTTTATATCATTATTATTTAATGGTCTTGTTTTGGGCAGCGAATCTAAGAGTTTTTTGGAGTAAACTTAGAAAGATATAATCCATAACCTTTTTATATGGTTTAAGATACAAGCCAGATCCAGATTTTCCAATAGCAATGGCTTCCATGGTTTTATTGTGACGATTGGTTTCGTCTAACGCTTTTCGGGCATTATTTGTATCTGTAACTGCTTTTGCAACGCCTGCTGCACCTCCAGCGAGGGCACCTAATGCACTAAGTCCAGCAAATAATGGAATTAATGGAAGAAAGCCTCGAAGTATGGAAATTAAACGAGAATGAGGTTTTACATTACGTTTACCACCAACATCTTGCAAAGCAGCTTTTGCAGCAGATAATGCAATATTACTTCCTTCCAAAATATTTATTGGTTTGCGCTTTTTATGTTGAGTTCTTACTTTACTCACAACTGCTTTATTCAATGAAACTGTCTTTCTTTTCTTTTTATGTGTTGGTTTGCGATTACGATGTTTTCTTTTTGAAACTCCCATACCTAACTTACGTTTAACTTTCATTGCTGTGGTAACTGCCCAAGCTGCTGCTTTTTCACTAAATTTTGAATCTTTTGCTTTAACACGTTCCCAAGCTGATTCCTCAAGTAGTTTATCGGCTTTGTGTATATCTTGTAGTGATTTTTGTGTTGAATAAGCAATATCATGTGATTTGCAAGCCGTATCTAAACCATTAATGCCAGAATCTCCACGTTTTAACCGCTTTTTTAAATTTGTACCTGGTCCGCAATATTGATATCCAGGTATATGTGCTTCGAATGGAAGCTTATTAATAAGTGAATTAATAATTCCGCTTCCTATCTTTTTCAATGAATGTTGTTTTGACGACTTATTAACCATTGCTGTTGAACTACTGAAACGTATAAATAGCGAGAAGAAGTTATATAAGGATCTATTGTTCTATTTTTACTTCATCACAAAAGCGCTAATGAAGGTCGTACAGCATAATGTAAAATTATCCATAACCAACTTGGATAATATTGTGAGGGCTACAAATGATAATCAGTTAACAAGAAAACATGGGGTGTTATTACCAAATACAATTAGATGTCTTATATGTGGACCGTCAAACTGTGGTAAATCAAATGTAATGTTGTCTCTATTATTCAATACAAATGGTCTAAAATTTGAAAACATTTATATTTATTCAAAATCACTATATCAACCAAAATATCAGTTTTTAGAAAAAATATTAAGAAAAGTCAAAGGTATTAAATATTACGCGTTTAAAGAGAATGATGATGTCATACATGTAGAAGAAGTTAAAAAAAACTCTGTGTTTATATTCGATGATATTGCTTGCAGTAATCAGCACAAAATTCGTGAGTATTTTAGTATGGGTAGACACAATGGTATTGATTCTTTTTATTTATGTCAAACCTATACTCGTATTCCAAAACATCTAATTCGAGATAACGCCAACCTAATTATAATGTTTAAACAAGATGACTTAAATCTAAAGCATGTATAAAGTGATCATGTGGGTAGTGATATGACTTTTGAACAGTTTAAACAAATATGTTGTTTTTACTGGCAAAACAATTATGATTTCATGCTAATAGACAAAGATAGTGATATTTATCAGGTAAGATATAGAAAAAATTTTGATAATATAATTACCAAATTTTAACATACACTTTTATTTGTAAGTATATAAGGATCTATTGTTCTATTTTTACTTCATCACAAAAGCGCTAATGAAGGTCGTACAGCATAATGTAAAATTATCCATAACCAACTTGGATAATATTGTGAGGGCTACAAATGATAATCAGTTAACAAGAAAACATGGGGTGTTATTACCAAATACAATTAGATGTCTTATATGTGGACCGTCAAACTGTGGTAAATCAAATGTAATGTTGTCTCTATTATTCAATACAAATGGTCTAAAATTTGAAAACATTTATATTTATTCAAAATCACTATATCAACCAAAATATCAGTTTTTAGAAAAATATTAAGAAAAGTCAAAGGTATTAAATATTACGCGTTTAAAGAGAATGATGATGTCATACATGTAGAAGAAGTTAAAAACTCTGTGTTTATATTCGATGATATTGCTTGCAGTAATCAGCACAAAATTCGTGAGTATTTTAGTATGGGTAGACACAATGGTATTGATTCTTTTATTTATGTCAAACCTATACTCGTATTCCAAAACATCTAATTCGAGATAACGCCAACCTAATTATAATGTTTAAACAAGATGACTTAAATCTAAAGCATGTATAAAGTGATCATGTGGGTAGTGATATGACTTTTGAACAGTTTAAACAAATATGTTGTTTTTGCTGGCAAAACAATTATGATTTCATGCTAATAGACAAAGATAGTGATATTTATCGGGTAAGATATAGAAAAAATTTTGATAATATAATTACCAAATTTTAACATACACTTTTATTTGTAAGAGTGTTGTCTACCAAGCAGTATGACACAAGTTAGCTCATCAGTTCAGCAGAAAAACCTGATTATTAAGCTAAGGAAAAATATTAAAGAGAAACTTATGGCATTAAAGTTAAACAAATCAGAAAATGATCGCGAATTTAAAGAAACATATGCTCCGTTGATTAATCCGTTAAATACGTTTGTGCAAAATGTAAACAACAAGAAAAGCACCAGCAGCAAGAACAACCTACAAACTAAACAAGAACATCTTAATAATTATAAAATTAAATCCAATAAAATTAAATATGAGAAAGACGATACCGACGCTCAAATAGAATCTGAAAATGATGAATTTGAGGAAACATTCGAAACTTTCAATCAAACTTCAGATGAGGTGCAATTAAATAAATTACAAACGCATGTACTGAACACGCAGAATCCAAAGAACAATAAAACATATGATCATGTTTTTGGTAGAAGCTATAATCCCAATACCAAACAACTTATGCTTGGAGCAGAAGGAGTAATTGAAATACAAGATAATGATATCATTTTAAATGGAACACGTTTTAATGGAACATCAGGATTGTATAATTTGCTATTTTTAAAAGATCCAAAGCAATTCACTAAACAAGATAACAATCAATATGTTTCAATGTTAAAACTGAGCAAAGCCATATATTTAAATAACAATCCTTCTATGCGTATAAAAGGTAATACATCTAAAAAGTATATGGAAACTATTAGACCCTATTTTATAGAAAAAGAGGGTAAAGGTATGAAGTTTCTAAAGGTTGACAATAAACCATACAGAGCAATATATTGGGATGAAGTAAATGAATTAATTGATCGATTGGTTTTGTTGCATGCATCTAAAACAGCTGGAAATAATTCAGTTCTGAACGAAATTATAGCAATCGAAGAAGAACTTAGAGAAGCTAGAATTATATATTAATAATGTTAAACAGAAAACAAAAAAAAGTTAATTTTAACAGTGTTAAGAAATTCATTATTATGAGTCTGTGAATCTAAATAATGATCCAAAATGGATGCAATTTGCATTAGATCACGTTCGTTTTCAAAATCGTATAAAGTACACGAGTTCAACCAGTTTTGATTGAAATGTTGGAGAGAATACGTCAACAGTGCAACAATGAGCGTTAATAAATTAGGTCAAACAAAGTTAAGTGAGACGAACAAACAGATCAATCAAGGATTGTCATCTGGAGTGGGTGTGAAATTAACTGAAGATGGTAATTTTGACGTTGAGAACAAACGTATAATAAACATAAGTTTAATAGATATTTAGTTCGCATCCAGTAAACAGAAGGCTCTCTTTGAGAAAGGATGCACGAGGAGGTGGAGTACTGAATTATTCACTATAAATAAAGTTAAAATATAACCCGGTTACATATTTGTTAACAGATTATAGGAAATCAACCTATTCTCGGTGTTTTTTTTATGAACCAGAGTTACAAAAGTTCAACATAAAGATATATATCTTGTGGAAAAAGTTATTCGACATAAAGGATCAACAGTACTTGTTAAGTGGTTGGGATTGGATAATTCACACAACAGTTGGATAAATAAAGTGGTATAATAATATAAAAAATGTTAAGATTTTTTTTTTTTTTGTTAATACTACTGCTACTATTAGCACCAAATTAACCAAATATGAACTGTCATGATGACGTTAACGTTGAGGAAAAAACAATCATAATCAACTTATTGAGTATCTTGCATGGAACAACTACTTAATTAATAATTCCACTAATTTAAATGTATTAAATATAAATGATGAAGATGTCATTGAAGCTTTTAAAAACATGCAAGAATTTTATAAAATTAGCTTGATGGAACATTTAATTCTGAAACTAAAAATTACTTATAAAACCAAGGTGTGGTTTTCACGACATATCAAGAAATTTTCTGTTGGCGCCCGCTAAATGGAATTAAAACTAATTTGACATGGCACTTTATTAACGCAAAGTCCTATATGAGTTTCATCTAACAGAAAAAGCATTTGAAACATGGCAAAAGCATTCAAATTATACGTTTAGATATGAATCTAGAGGGAGATTTGCAGATATTGTAATTTCTTACAAATCACTTCGACACAATTTTAGTAGATGTTGTAATATGAGTAGCTGTTTTCCGGATTTGGACGGAGAAGGTCAGGTGCTTGCTCATGCATTTTATCCTGAAAAACAGTATAACATTGTCGAAATTCATATGGATCGGGATGAAAAATGGAACTATTTAGCAACCGGTAATTTTTATCAAACATTGCTTCATGAAATTGGTCACACGCTTGGAATATCTCATTCATCAGTAAAAGGATCTGTTATGTATGCATTTTTTGAGGGGCGAAATTCTACTGACTTGGCTGCAGATGATATTGCTGCAATACAAGAGCGATACATTTACCCCAAACTACCATCACCTTCTACACCAACAACAACAACAACACAACAACTACAGTTAGCCCACAAGAAGAAAGTACTAGTCATACAGAAATACTAAATCCCAAAGAATCGAATATTTGTGATTATCAAAAAGACTTAAAAACGTTTATGTTTGCAAATGGAAAATTTTATATTTTTCACAAAAACTTGATATGGATGCAGATACTTAGGCCGATTCAATACTACGCTGATCCAGTATAATTGCCAGTTGGATATCCTTTATCCCAAAAATCTTCCAAACGACGTTTGAAATAAGCCTAATTATCAACAGTCAAGTTCTAGAGACCTTGATTGTGGAAATGGAATGATATACAATGTTAAAATACCATCACTAACTCTTGTGAATGCTCCTACCGAAATTAATAAATATTACATTAATTTACCACAGCAAGCAAAAGTTAATTTTGTTTTTAATTCATATATTGATTATTTATATATTATTTACAATGATATTCACCTCGGTAAAATTGATAGTTGCGCTAGAAATTTCGAATATCTTGGCTTGTTTAGTGATTACTTCCCCGGCATTCCTCACAAAATAAATGGAGTCTATAAATATATCGACGGAAATTTATATTTCTTGTCAGAAAAATTTATATACAAGTACAACGAGTTTACGAAAACAATAATAAATGTGATACCAAGAACTATGCATTCATTTGGAATCGAGTGTCCAAGCGTTCCACTACTTAAGCAACTACAAAACCTTTTGAATCAAATATTATTTAAAAAAATTATAGTGTAGAACAAAAGAAAATGTGGCTTTCACCAATAGTTGTAATTGCATCGGAAATATTTGTTTTAACAAACATTTTGAATACTACGATGTATGTATCAGCACCGGATAATGTTAATGAGTGTTATGCTACATTGGACAATAACAATTCATTTGACAGCACATGGGAATCACCAAAATGGAAGCGAATGAAATTACATAAAGGCAAGATAACTGGATCAAAATGTTCAATTGACCTTTCCCAAGAATTGTCAGCCTCTCCTCCAGATGTGTTAAATTATATGGTCAGATATAAGTATCTAGATGGTCATATACGAGAGACAGAAAATTGGCAATCAATATTATGGCCAACAAATGAACAAACAGACACACAACAACAACAACAACAACCACAACAACAAGACAACAAGACAACCATTAAACAACAAGACAACAAGACAACCATACAACAACAAGACAACAACACAACCATACAAGAAGACAACAACCAAGCAAACAACAAAACAACTAATCAAGTAGCAAACAATAAAACAACGCAAAATACTGATATCAACATTATTATTTTAATTATTAGCGACATATTACTGTTAATTGCATTTATTGTTTTTTTTTATATATTTAAAACTTTATAAAAAATAAATATAACATTTTATTTTACAACACATTAACGTGTACATAATTTTTAACATATTCCATAAGCAAATCATAATAATAATTTATTATTTCGTGCATTATTTCTGTCGTTTCAAAGTAATAGTTGCACGATGTCTTATCCGGTTCTAATGATTGTTGTGGTTGAAGAGCAGGAAGTAGAATACTTGAAATTGGGTCTGCAGCTTGACTAACGTTTGCATGATTAGAAACATAATCCAAACAATTGTTGAAATATTGGTAGAACTTTAATTGATCCAATCGTTTCAATCGAAATGATATCAGAATGTTTAATTTAAATAATGTCTTCGTTTCTCTTCTATCGAACACGATTTGCTGACCATATTTTTCCAAAATTACAACCTTCTTGATTATTGCATTCTTCTTTGCCTTTGTAAATACAATATCAAAATCAGTACAAATGTTAATTTTTCTTATCTCCGCTAGAGTTTTAGTTGAGTCTGCGGTTTCTAACACGCACGTGCATGTACAAACGCTATTACATGGCAGTTTTAACTTGTTTGAAGTTTGTTTGGTTTTGAAAAAACATTCAATTTCTTGCTGATGGTCCAATAATAATTTCCACTCTGTAGCTTGAAGAATTAATTGTTGTGGTGTATTTGTTTTAATTGTATCTCGAATTATAACGCCGTGGTAGAATCCAATTACTGCTATAAAACCAACTTCAAGAAGCAAATCATTGTTAATATTAAAAACACCACCTCCGACCACTGATTTTGCATGTTTATTTAACGACTCACTCATTTTTTATATATTTTATTTATTTTTTATTGCTCAAGATATAAGATACGTATGGATATAAGAACAATCAATCACTAAATAAAATAAAATAAAATTTATTATTTTGTATCCCAACTCCCTCTTCAGATTTTTAATAAAAGTCTCAGGAGTGACGTCAGCAAAATTTGAATATCGAAATTTTTCGGTTATTGTTGGAAGTGTTCGGTAACAGCTGAGAACGAGAGAGGTGGACTCGGTTAATTTGATTATCGAAATTTTTCGGTTATTGTCGGAAGTGTAGAGTCAGCAAGCACTCGTCACGGCGACCTGAGTACCTCGTCACGGCATCCTCAAAACCTATGTACCTGAGTATGCAGCACTTCTTCGCTCCGGCATCCTTAAATCCATGTCTTTCCATTCTCTTATCGTTCATCCCTATAATCCTATGTGTTGTAATTCTTATCAGTACTACTACTTGACGTATGTAGTTCGTTGTCGTCGTCGTCGTCGTCGTCGACATGGCGGTCGCTCGCTTCTTGGGTGTTGTCACTACACCGTTTTTGCTTTGCTTTCTTTAAAATTCAAATCTCCGATGAACGCCGAGAAATACCGAAGGCTCAAGTTTCAAAATTCAAATCTCCGATGAACGCCGACAAATACCGAAGGCTCAAGTTTCAAAATTCAAATCTCCGATAAACGCCGACAAATACCGAAGGCTCCAGTTTCAAAATTCAAATCTCCGATGAACACCGACAAATACCGAAGGCTCCAGTTTCAAAATTCAAATCTCCGATGAACGCCGACAAATACCGAAGGCCTGTGGCGGTCTCGCCGCCTCAGTCACGCCGCCACCGGCCACCAGCAGAAGCAAGCGGACTGAAGGCGAGCCAACGCAGCGACAAGATCCGAAGAACGACAATAAAATACTGACACATACTGACGACAAGTTAGCTACCATAAGCGAATAAACAATCTGATTTTACTTATAGACTACCAGGAGTGAATATATATTGTAGTTTAGAACCCTCGCAACTACATATTGGTGACCCCGACGTGATTCCTGCAAAATAAGTAAAAAGCCTCGCCTCGCTACCGACGCCGCGGCGATAACCAAGAAAGTAAATTGGCGGAAAAGACATCACTAAAAATTACACATGCTGAGGACCCTAAAAAAGAACAACAACACACCATGTCAACGAACACCACTCAGGATCCTCTGAACAACAATCTGCTTGGCGATTTCGGCGCCGAGTCATCGGACAGACCACCGGGTGTCGAACAAACACCACAGCAAAATAACAACGCCCACTCGAGCGGGCCACCAGTCCTTCAGCTGCCTGCACATCTGAATACAAATCCACAAGTCTTCGCAGTCAACCTCAACCTGCCGCAGTGCCGCGGATTCACCGGAGATGTGGTTCGCCATCGCTGAAGCTGACTTCACAGCCAACCGCATTACCAGTGACAACCAAAAGTACAGCCAGACCCTAAAGGCTCTTCCACTCAGCATCTCCAAGCAACTCTGGGATGTAATCAGCAACCCGCCAACTCAAGATAAGTACCCAACCCTAAAAACGGCAATATTAAGCCGATTCTCGGATTCCAGACAAACACAACTGCACAAACTCCTTAGAGACATGACACTCGGCGACAAACGACCCTCGCAACTCCTGCGGGAGATGCGCGAGCTAGCAAAAGGCTCCATGGAAGATGAGGCGCTGCATCAACTCTGGAAAGAGCGTCTCCCTGCCTGGGTACGTCCATACCTCCTGGTCTCAACCAACCTAAACGATCTCAACAGCCTGGCGGAAATAGCGGACCGCCTCGTGCTCAACATGGGCAGCAGCTCGGTCTACGCAGTACAACAGAGACCATACAAACAGCGGGATCTTTCAAAACTCGACCAGCAAATCCTGAACTCAAGATGATCCTGAAAAAAGCTGCCAGCAAGAGATCAATAACCTACAGCTAAGCCAACAACAACCACAAACTCACCGAGGTACAACATCAGCAGCAGCAAATATCAACTGGCAATCAACAACCTGACACAACGCAGCTCAAGGTCCGACTCCGGCTACAGAGGTCATCAACCAGGGGAAGATCAGTAACACCAACCGCAACGGTTACCGCTACTACCACAGCCGATGGGGAAATGACGAAGCATTTTAAGATCGTTGAAATCGTTTAAAATAAATAATATTAATAAAACGAATAATAAAAATTCGTCATTTTGTGCTGTTTTACGCGATTCAGCGATTCAAAGCTCAACGTGCTGTTTGCTAAAATAAAAGCATTTAAAGCATTATAGATCGTTGAAATCACGTTCCGTCGACCTGCCAATGTAAAAACGAATAAATAAAAAATTCGTCGATTTTTATGCTGTTTACGCGTTAAACGCAGATTAAAAACTCGTGATGCTGTTTTTGCTAAAATATCACATTCAAGCATTTTTGAATCGTTGAGGTGATTTCAAATAGACGCAATATTAATAAAAAACGAATAATAAAATTTCGTCGTTTTATGCTGTTTACGCGATTTAAAACGCAGATTAAAACTCAAAACGATGCTGTTTGCTAAAATACTTTAACATTTCAAGCATTTTAGATCGTTTGAAATCGTTAAATAAAACAATATTAATAAAAACGAATATTAAAATTGTCGTTTTATTGCTGTTTTGCGTTAAAACGCGATTAAAGCTCAAAACGTAACATTTTGCTAAAATAAGCGATTTTCAGCATGTAGATCGTTGAAATCGTTCAAATAGACGCAATAAACGAATAATAAAAATTTCGTCGTTTTATGCTGTTTTACGCGTTAAAACGCAGATTAAAGCTCAAAACGTGCTGTTTTGCTAAAATAAGCATTTTCAAGCATTTTAGATCGTTGAGGAAATCGTTCAAATAGAAGCAATATTAATAAAAACGAATAATAAAATTTCGTCGTTTTTATGTGCTGTTTCGCAAAACGCAGATTGAAGCTCAAAACGTGCTGTTTTGCTAAAATAAGCATTTTCAAGCATTTTAGATCGTTGAAATCGTTCAAATAGACGCAATAAAAATAAAAAACGAATAATAAAAATTTCGTCGTTTTTATGCTGTTTTACGCGTTAAAACGCAGAATAAAGCTCAAAACGTGCTGTTTTGCTAAAATAAACATTTTCAAGCATTTTAGATCGTTGAAATCGTTCAAATAGACGCAATATTAATAAAAAACGAATAATAAAAATTTCGTCGTTTTTATGCTGTTTTACGCGTTAAAACGCAGATTAAAGCTCAAAACGTGCTGTTTTGCTAAAATAAGCATTTTCAAGCATTTTAGATCGTTGAAATCGTTCAAATAGACGCAGATATTAATAAAAACAGAATAATAAAAATTTGTGGTTTTATGCTGTTTTACAGCGTTAAAACGCAGATTAAAGCTCAAAACGTGCTGTTTTGCTAAAATAAGCATTTTCAAGCATTTTAGATCGTTGAAATCGTTCGTGAGCAATATTAATAAAAACGAATAATAAAAATTCGTCATTTTTATGCTGTTTTACGCGTTAAAACGCAGATTAAAGCTCAAAACGTGCTGTTTTGCTAAAATAAGCATTTTCCAGCATTTTAGATCGTTGAAATCGTTCAAATAGACGCAATATTAATAAAACGAATAATAAAGAATTTCGGGCATTTTTATGCGCACGCGTTAAAACGCTGATTAAAGCTCAAAACGTGCTGTTTTGCTAAAATAAGCATTTTCAAGCATTTTAGATCGTTGAAATCGTTCAAATAGACGCAATATTAATAAAAAACGAATAATAAAAAATTCGTCGTTTTTATGCTGTTTTACGCGTTAAAACGCAGATTAAAGCTCAAATCGTGCTGTTTTGCTAAAATAAGCATTTTCAAGCATTTTAGATCGTTGAAATCGTTTAAATAGAAGCAATATTAATAAAAAACGAATAATAAAAAATTCGTCATTTTTATGCTGTTTTATGCGTTAAAACGCAGATTAAAGCTCAAAACGTGCTGTTTTGCTAAAATAAGCATTTTCAAGCATTTTAGATCGTTGAAATCGTTCAAATAGACGCAATATTAATAAAAAACAAATAATAAAAATTTCGTCGTTTTTATGCTGTTTTACGCGTTAAAACGCAGATTAAAGCTCAAAACGTGCTGTTTTGCTAAAATAAGCATTTTCAAGCATTTTAGATCGTTGAAATCGTTCAAATAGACGCAATATTAATAAAACGAATAATAAAAATTCGTCGTTTTATGCTGTTTTACGCGTTAAAACGCAGAATAAAGCTCAAAACGTGCTGTTTTGCTAAAATAAGCATTTTCAAGCATTTTAGATCGTTGAAATCGTTCAAATAGACGCAATATTAATAAAAAACGAATAATAAAAATTTCGTCGTTTTTATGCTGTTTTACGCGTTAAAACGCAGATTAAAGCTCAAAACGTGCTGTTTTGCTAAAATAAACATTTTCAAGCATTTTAGATCGTTGAAATCGTTCAAATAGACGCAATATTAATAAAACGAATAATAAAAATTTCGTCGTTTTTATGCTGTGTTACGCGTTAAAACGCAGATTAAAGCTCAAAACGTGCTGTTTTGCTAAAATAAGCATTTTCAAGCATTTTAGATCATTGAAATCGTTCAAATAGAAGCAATAATAATAAAAACGAATAATAAAAATTTCGTCGTTTTATGCTGTTTTACGCGTTAAAACGCAGATTAAAGCTCAAAACGTGCTGTTTTGCTAAAATAAGCATTTTCAAGCATTTTAGATCGTTGAAATCGTTCAAATAGACACAATAAAATAAAAACGAATAATAAAAATTTCGTCGTTTTTATGCTGTTTTACGCGTTAAAACGCAGAATAAAGCTCAAAACGTGCTGTTTTGCTAAAATAAGCATTTTCAAGCATTTTAGATCGTTGAAATCGTTCAAATAGACGCAATAATAATAAACGAATAATAAAAATTTCGTCGTTTTTATACTGTTTTACGCGTTAAAACGCAGATTAAAGCTCAAAACGTGCTGTTTTGCTAAAATAAGCATTTTCAAGCATTTTAGATCGTTGAAATCGTTCAAATAGAAGCAATATTAATAAAAAACGAATAATAAAAATTCGTCGTTTTTATGCTGTTTTACGCGTTAAAACGCAGATAAAGCTCAAAACGTGCTGTTTTGCTAAAATAAGCATTTTCAAGCATTTTAGATCGTTGAAATCGTTCAAATAGAAGCAATATTAATAAAAACGAATAATAAAATTTCGTCGTTTTTATGCTGTTTTACGCGTTAAAACGCAGATTAAAGCTCAAAACGTGCTGTTTTGCTAAAATAAGCATTTTCAAGCATTTTAGATCGTCGAAATCGTTCAAATAGACACAGTAATAAAACGAATAATAAAAATTCGTCGTTTTTATGCTGTTTTACGCGTTAAAACGCAGATTAAAGCTCAAAACGTGCTGTTTTGCTAAAATAAGCATTTTCAAGCTTTTTAGATCGTTGAAATCGTTCAAATAGAAGCAATATTGATAAAAAACGAATAATAAAAATTTAAAATGCGTTTTTATGCTGTTTTACGCGTTAAAACGCAGATTAAAACTCAAAACGTGCTGTTTTGCTACAAAATAAAGCTTATTTTCAAGCATTTTAGATCATTTGGGGAAATCGATTCAAAATAGAAGCAATATTAATAAAACGAATAATAAAAATTTCGTCGTTTTTATGCTGTTTTACGCGTTAAAACGCAGATTAAAGCTCAAAACGTGCTGTTTTGCTAAAATAAGCATTTTCAAGCATTTTAGATCGTTGAAATCGTTCAAATAGAAGCAATATTAATAAAAAACGAATAATAAAAATTTCGTCGTTTTTATGCTGTTTTTACGCGTTAAACGCAGATTAAGCTCAAATCGTGCTGTTTTGCTAAAATAAAAGCACCGAAGCATTTAGATCGGTGAAATCGTTTAAATACGAAGCAATAGTAATAAAACGAATAATAAAAATTCGTCATTTATGCTGTTTTACGCGTTAAAACGCAGATTAAAGCTCAAAACGTGCTGTTTTGCTAAAATAAGCATTTTCAAGCATTTTAGATCGTTGAAATCGTTTAAATAGACGCAATATTAATAAAAAACAAATAATAAAAATTTCGTCGTTTTTATGCTGTTTTACGCGTTAAAACGCAGATTAAAGCTCAAAACGTGCTGTTTTGCTAAAATAAGCATTTTCAAGCATTTTAGATCGTTGAAATCGTTCAAATAGACGCAATATTAATAAAAAACGAATAATAAAAAATTCGTCGTTTTTATGCTGTTTTACGCGTTAAAACGCAGATTAAAGCTCAAAACGTGCTGTTTTGCTAAAATAAGCATTTTCAAGCATTTTAGATCGTTGAAATCGTTCAAATAGACGCAATATTAATAAAAAACGAATAATAAAAATTTCGTCGTTTTTATGCTGTTTTACGCGACGCGTTAAAAACTCAAAACGATATGTTTGCTAAAATAAGCATTTTCAAGCATTTTAGATCGTTGAAATCGTTCAAATAGACGCAATATTAATAAAAAACGAATAATAAAAATTTCGTCGTTTTTATGCTGTTTTACGCGTTAAAACGCAGATTAAAGCTCAAAACGTGCTGTTTTGCTAAAATAAGCATTTTCAAGCATTTTAGATCGTTGAAATCGTTCAAATAGAAGCAATATTAATAAAAAACGAATAATAAAATTTCGTCGTTTTTATGCTGTTTTACGCGTTAAAACGCAGATTAAAGCTCAAAACGTGCTGTTTTGCTAAAATAAGCATTTTCAAGCATTTTAGATCGTTGAAATCGTTCAAATAGACGCAATAAAAATAAAAAACGAATAATAAAAATTTCGTCGTTTTTATGCTGTTTTACGCGTTAAAACGCAGAATAAAGCTCAAAACGTGCTGTTT